ACACCCCAAGTGGACCTCTAGCCTCTACTGCCTGGGCAGATATACAAGCACCCACACCCCAACACATACATGTGTGCATGTAAGTCCCCCCCCCACATGCACATACATGGAAAACAAGATTAGAAAGCAAGAATGGTACTTGGGGAACTCAATGACACTGTCCCACATATCAAAGCCAGACAGAAAACAGAGACAGATGCCAGGGCCATGACAACACAGTGGCCAGAAAGGCACCCAGAGGAAGCTGGAGAAGGAGGTGTAAACCATACCATGCACAGCAGGAGACTGCTTTCAATGACCATGAGGGGAGGGGTTCAAAAGCAACACAGAACAGTCAAGTGTCCTGAGGGTTGGTTACATGGAAGGCACTGTCTCCACTGGAATGGTGGGTCAGAGGTCACTGTCCAGGATGAGGAAGAGATGGTTAGGAAGAAAACAGACACTCTAGACAGTGAGTATCGTGGGACTGAGAGATCTTTTATTTTGTTTCAGAAAGCAGGGAAGGTCAGCGCCATCGTGATGGGAAACGTATTCTACAGTGACTAGGGCAAAGGAGTAAGTGGGTGGCAGTACCCTGGGCAAATGCCATGGTGTGGGCATGTGCATCCCATGGTTGGTCCACCGCGCTTAAGGGCTCTGGGACACCTTCTCAGAGGTGGTACCCTGGGAGCTGGGTATTGGGGTGACTACTGAGAAGGATGTGGCTGGGAGAGGGCAAGGTGCACCCCAAAGGCAGCTTTATAAAGCAGGACGTGTGTAAGAAGACAGGAAAGAGAGGAGCTGGAGGGCTGAGTGGAGCCAGACTGGCAGGGGCTGGCTAAGCTGAGTGGACTTCTTTGAAGTTACTAGAGGATTTATTCATTTATTTTAAAGTTGGAGATGGAACATTGTGACTTTTGCCTTACAGGGTATTTTCTGCTATGGAGGAGAGAATATCCCATGAGCCCAAGGTTCTGAACTAGGAGAGTGAGGGGAACAGGAGGAGGCTGGGGGGATACAACTCAGGAGTCATTATATGGCATCAACAGAACAAAATCACGGTGAGACACCGAGGGTAGAGGAGGACTGAGCCCTCCACGGAAACTTACATGCATCTGTTACATGTTACATGCAACTGCTAGCTGAATGACAGAAGAAAGCCAGTGAGGAGATGGGGGCAGTGTCCAATTTTAGAAGAAGATAGTCCAGTCCATGTTCTAAACTTAAAGAAGTAAAACCATACAAAGTATGTTTTCCAAATCTAGGCAAATTAAACACAAATAGCAAAAAGATATCTAGGAAACCCCAAGTATTTAGAAATTAAACATTTCATATCTAAGTACCTACGAGATATTAGAAAAGATATTTTGAAATATCTTTTGATGAGTGAAAATGTAACATGGTAAAATTCGTAGGTGCTATGATGGCTAATTTTTGCTGTCAGCTTGACAGAACCTGGAATCAACTAAAACCCAAGCTGCTGGGGACTCTGTGAGAGATTTTCTTAATCAGATGAATCGAAGCCGGAAGACCACACCCTCTGGTGTCAACCCCCAAAAGGACCTGGAAAAAGAAAGTTTCTTTTTGTCTGATTGCCTTCAGTCTGTGTCAGGATGTCACATGTGCTGGCTAGTCAATACCACACGAGAGAGAGTCGTTTGGAAAGAGGGAGCGTCAATTGAAAAAATGCTCTCACCTGATTGACCTGTGGGCAGGCCTGTGTTGTACTTTCTTGATTGCTCATTGATGTGTGTGTGTGTGGGGTGGGCTTGCTCATTGAGGGTGGAACCACCCCTGGGCTGGGGGTCCCAGGTTCTCTAAGAAAGCAGGCTGGGCAAACAAACAGGAAGGAGCAAGCCAGTAGGCATCGCTCTTGCATGGCCTCTGCCTCAGTTCCTGCCCGGAGTTCTCACCCTGACTTCCCTCAGTAATAGAGTGACCCGAGAGTTGTAAGGTGAGATAAACCCTCTCCTCCTCCTTCCCTAGTTGCTTTTGATCATTGTGTTTTGTTTTTGTTTTTGTTGTTTGTTTGATTTTTTTCGAGACAGGGTTACTCTGTAACTTTGGAGCCTGTCCTGGAACTAGCTTTTGTAGACCACGCTGGCCTCAAACTCACAGAGATCCACCTACTTCTGCCTTCCGAGTGCGGGGATTAAAGGTGTGAGCCACCACTGCCTGGCTTTGGTCATGGTATTTTAGCACCGCAACTGGGACCATAACTAAGACACTGCAGCACTCCTTCACCAATACGCAAACCACCATCTTCAGGATCCCAATGGACAGAGGACCAGCGGCTGTCTGAGAATCCTCCAGGCCTGCAGAATGGGACTGCTAAGACATCCGGCCTTGCTGACGGAGGCATGCCTGGATTCTCAGTTGCTCCAGTGTGAGACAGCCCTGGTGGGGGTGCCCAGACTGCATTCTGTAAATTGATCTAATAAATCCCCTTTATATATAGCATTAAATGATATATTAGAAAAAGAATTAACATCTCAAATCAATAACCAAAATTTTAACTTTGAGATTAGAGGGCATAAAACAAATCAGAATCCAAAGAAAGCAGAAGGAAACAGAAACAATGGAAGACAGAAAACAAAACTGATGTGGGATGTCCTTTTGTATATGTGTTGCTTTTATTGGTTAAATAAAGCTGCTTTGGCCTACAGTAGGGCAGAATATAACCAGGCTGGAAGGGATATAGAGAGAAAGAAGGAGGAGTAAGAGAGATGCTACATCACTGCTGAAGGAGGCAGATGTTCAGAACTTTTACCAGTAAGCCATAGATTCCTGACGATGCACAGATTAATAGAAGTAGGTTCATTCAAGATGCAAGAGCTAGCTAGAAATATGCCTGAGTCATTGGCCAAGCAGTATTGTAATTAATATAGTTTCTGTGTAATTATTCAGGTCTGGGCAGCTGGGGAACGAAAGAGCAGTCTCCGGCTACACAAAACCAAGTCGGTACTAGAAGCTGCTTCTTTGAAAAGATCAGTGAATGGCCAGGAAAAGAGGAGGTGACACTAGTGACCAATGTGTGTGGGGGAGGTATTTCTACCGACCTTACAAACTCAGCACGTGACCCAAATATCTAGAGAGTAGTGAGCGAGTGCTGCTGACAAAAGGATGCACTGTCTTTGACAATATTACACCTGCTGCAGTGAGGACCGTTCAGCTGACAGCAGCAGAAGGACCCCAAGTCACTGAAGGCTCAAGAACAGGTGCCTATTTTAATAAAGTTGTGGGGCCAGATACAGCATGGTGAGGAGGAACTATAGGGAAAGGAAGCAGTATTTTGGAGGAGGAATCATGTTTACCTGTTGAGGTAGAGAGGAAGGACCAAGCAAGGGAAGTCAAGGATTTGGAAGAAGCGGAGGCATCTGGGGGCGGCAACAGCGGGAGCTCATTGATGGCAACAGTGGAACAGCCTACTCTGAACAAGTCAGACTCTGAGCCAGGAGGGAGGGTGATGAGGATGGGTGGAGGTCAGACTAGGATTGGTTTCTCAGTTATCTGTCTTTAAGAGTTTCAGATTGCTTTAGAAATGGGAAGATGAGGGCTGGAGAGATGGCTCAGCAGTTAAGAGCATTGCGTGCTCTTCCAAAGGTCCTGAGTTCATTTCCCAGCAACCACATGGTGGCTCACAACCATCTGTAATGAGGTCTGGTGCCCTCTTCTGGCCTGCAGGCAGACACACAGACAGAATATTGTATACATAATAAATAAATTGAGGTTTTTTTTTTTTTTTTAAGAAGAAATGGGAAGATGGTAGCGAACTAAGATTCCAGAACAGGATGCAGCCTCTGAAGAGCTTACAAGGTGAACAGCGGGATGATGCCTGGAAGGGCTGTAGCATGCGTAGGGCTCTGCCAACATCTGTCAGGGCTAGAAAGTAAAAAGATTTCAGGCTCTGAAGGCCAACAGACCCACCAAAGACATACTGTGTAGACACAGCTGTGGAGAGAAAATGCTGAACCCAGTGGGAGTAAACTGCTTCTGTTAGGTCATCTATGACTTAGTAAAGAGACAAAAAGCTTCCGGTGAGAAAGGGAGGGTTGTGATGGGCCAGGGTGGCAGGTAGGAGTGGTGGGAAATCCAAGCAGTTTCTCTTTTGCCTCAGTGATGGCTCCAAGCCCTGGGGTATCTCTCTTTCCTGCTGAGAGCTTGGTCTTCCCAATTCAGAAAGCTTGCTAGAGACTAAACAATGCCAGGGTTGGGTGTCTAATAATTGCAACCAACACTTCCATCTGCTCTGGCTATTGGTACAAGCGAGGCAGCAGTACTGGGAGAAAGAAAACGAGGAAGGGTTAAGTTAGAATGTAGATGTAGTTTGACCTCTAGCTCATGAACTAACTTTTCATTGGTGCCTTAGCTTTACAAATGCAAGTAGCAGGCTAGCATCAAGCCACAGGCTCAAGGTCACTGGTGCCACTCTTGTGCCCCTAAAAGTGTCAAGGAGAAGATTAAAAGAGACTTTAGCCAAGAAAACTTCACAGATTATTGTAACCAAAACATAGGTTAAATTTTCCGCCTAGTGCTTCCTTTAACACTCATTATATTCATGCATTCACTCATTCACGACTTTCACTTTGAGACAAGGCAATGCTACATTGCTCATGCTTCGAACTCAGAATTCCCCAGCCTTAACCTCCCAAGCGGTTAAGATTTCAGGCACGCATAACTGCAACTGGCTTTTCACATTACTTTAAATGAGGTTCTGAGTAACACTTCAGAGCGCCTCCTCCTTCCTTCAAGCTCACTACCCGTGGAGTGAACGTAAACACTGCCTTCCCAGAGCTGTGGCCTGAGTCATCCACGTTTCACTTCTGGAAATAGAGCACTACCCATTTCTAGGTTGGTTAAATTATACGACTTCCCTGAAAGCGCATTCTTCTTTGGACCTCAGAGCTGAGAATTGCAAGTGGATGAGCGACTTGTCACTCAATACATATCAAAACGAGAGATGTGGGGGGGGGGCGGCAAGGAGGATCATCAGGACAACGTCTATGACTGGCAGAACTTACCCTGGTAAATCCTGCAATCTTCCTCAGTGACGTAGGCGTTCGCTCCCCAGATCAGCATCTTGCGGACGTAAGATGGGTTCTTAGCAGCAGCAATGAGTGCAGTTATGCCCCCATCACTCCAGCCCAGGAGGGAGACCTGCTTGAACTGCAGCACCTGTGGGCAACACAGCGGAAGGCATGGCATAGCTGCTGTTGACCTGTGACCCACACAGGAGGACACACGGCACTCTTACTGTTTACCTGTGGCCAGCACAGCAGGACACACGGCCCTGTGACCACTTCACTCTCTTTAAAGAACCTGGGTGGTGGCCATCCGAGTTCTACAAGTCTGCCACTTGGAGACCTAGTGTCAATTGGCTTCGCTACAATGTAATTGTCATAAAAACTTGAGTATACAGCATTATTTTGACCTATGCAGGAAGCCTATCTTCTGGCTGGATAAAACCTCAAAGGACAGAATCAGCAGAAATCCGCTGTATTTGGGTAGGACAAGTACCATGTGTGCGTACACCCGAGCAAGGCTCAGAAGGCAGACAATCCTGTAGATTGGAAAGAGCTTAAAATAAGAGGTAGCAGGGTATCTGGTGAAGCCACACTGCCACTGTGGGAAGAGCTGTCTAGAGACAAGAGGGAGCATGGTGTCGCGGTAAAGCTGAATCCGTCCTTGGGTGAACCAACCAGGACCCTGAAAATGAACTCGTAGAGAAAGCTGACAAAGCATATGGAAACGGCTTCTAGAAGTAAAACAGAGCATCTAAAAAGATTAAAAATAAGGAACCAACAAAAGCTGGGATAATTGCTGGTGAAATCACACGTATGTGTGCATACTCTGGATAACCATCTGACATTAGCATGCAGAATGCGGATACATTCTCTACACCTAGCACACTGCCTCCTGGATTCGCTCACCAGGAGATAGACCCAGGATATAAAACACACGGCACGGCACTGCTCATAATCACAAGAGTGACAAATGTCCATGCATACCTTACAGCAAAAAGTAGCTTAAAACTAATCGTTTACCACTAGATTCATGGAACAAGACCGTGCATACATCCAGCAGCGCGCTCTCTCTCTCTCTCTCTCTCGCTCTTAAAACAGGGTTTCTCTGTGTAGCTCTGGTTGTCCTGGAACTCACTCTGTAGACCAGGCTGATCTCGAACTCTCAGAGATCTGCCTGCCTCTGCATCTCTGAGTGCTGGGATTAAAGGCGTGTGCCAGCACTGCCCTGTTTCAGCAGCTCTCTTGCACCTCCTGGGGTTACATTCCAAGATGCTGCCCCACCACAGATGATTTGTAACATAGACGGAACCAAGAGCTCTACACACACACACACACACACACACACGCAGTCTAGAGTGGATATACTGGACAGGCGATGTGTTACAGTTTAAGTAGGATGGAGGCAGGAAGGATGGGCAGCATACTTCACTGTACCATTCAGACTCGCAGGGAATTTAAAACTCATGACCGAATGCTACAGATAATATTAACGAACTTATATTTCAGAAAGACAGAAAAAATATTTTGGAAGTTTTCCTCGTCAGGAAATGATACATGTTGGGGACTGGGGGAGATAGTTCTATTGGCAAAATGTTTGCAGTACAAACATGAGGATCCGAGTTCTTTCCCAGGACCCAAGAAAGCCAGCCATTGTGGCACATGCCTCAGTCCCAGCTCTGAGGTGGAGATGGGAGGATCCTTGGGGCTTGTTGGCCATCCAACCTAACCTACTTGGTGACCTTCAGGCCAATGAATGACCTTGTTTCAGAAAATAAAGTGGAAAGCAACTGAGCAACAATAATTGTTGTGACAGGCATGCTTAACCGATTTGAACATTATGCAGAGCAGACACGTACTGGAACCTTACTTAATCCCCCCTGGAATGTACAACTTTCATATTTTAATAGATAAGCTAAAAATAAACATAATTTAAGTTATAGGGCACTATAGATTATGAATTAATTATTTCTGCAATTTTTCACTTAATATTTCCGTAGCTGAAACCACAGAGAGTGAGATCATGGAGTAGGGACAAGGGCAGCAAGTGTATGTTCATCGGGAAGGAAGCAGCATCTCCTTGACACATTTTCAAAACAGCAGACTTGGAGGATGGAAGGGAAGGCCTGATGCCGTCGGTGTTACACCTCTAATCCCAGCACTCAGGTAGAGGCTACCCTGCTGCTAGTGAGACCAGCCAGGGTTACATGGCAAGACGCTGCCTCAAAAAATCAAAATAACTATGGAGGCCCAAAAACGTGAGCCTATTTCCACCTCGTCTAAAGGTCAGAGAGTTTTAGCTTGTTCAGAGTTGTTGACAACAAGTGGGGCTACACAAACTGACTAGGGTGTGGTTACTTGGTCTCTTTGACATTAAGATGGCCCATACAGATAGATTTATTCCAGCCTGACCATACTTCTGCTCCTTCTTTTGAAATAGGAGGTTTGACCTTGGGAGTGCCCGTCTTCAGGACACTTGCTCTAGGGTGGGTTCACTGCCTAAACAACAGACTGTTAATGATTTGATGTCTTAAAGTTGAAGCAAATAACTGTTCTAGTAGCCATTTGTATCCTGTTAAAGCAGTCTTTTGTCTTTTCCCCCTTTTGTGTATGGGAAATTAAGCGCAGGTGAATTTCAGTATCCACTCCCTCCCAATACTACCCTGTTTCTGTTTTATTATTTTTAGTTGTGTCTTTTTGTTCTTTGCTTATTTTTCTAATCCTCATGCCCCTACCCTGATAAGTGGTATTTTTGTCGAAGCTGGTCCCCGACAAATAGCCAAATAAAATACCATGTGTGCTTAAAGGCACTGATTCCTCACCTGGACCTACAAGGTAATTAAAAGCAGGGTAAAAGCTGGACTTCTCCATCTTCTTTTTTCATCTTTACTTTGGGTTGGATTTCTGCTCAACTCTGGTTGTAGGCATGTTAAGCATTCAAGGAACAAGGAGCATCTGTTTAAAGGCTGGTGGTATATAACCAATGCAACCAGTCTTAACCCCAGCACTGGTTAGTTTTATGACAACTTGATACAAGCAAAAGTTATCAGAGAGAAGGCAGCTTCAATTAAGATGGAGAGAGAAAGAGAGAGAGGGGAAGAGAAAAGGGGAGAGGGAGACAGAGAGAAGAAGGGAGAGAGAGAGAGAAAAGGAGGGAGAGGGAGGAAGAGGGAGAGAAAGAGAGAGAGGGAGAGATAAGGAGAGAGAGAAAGAGAGAGAGGAAGAGAGAAATAAAGAGAAAGAGAAAAAGAGAGAAATAGAAAAAGAAATGAAGAGAGAACAGAAAGAGAAGGAGAGAAAGAGGGAAAGAGATAGAAAGAAAAAAGAGAAAGAGAGAGAAAGAGGGAGAGAGAGAAAGAACAAGAGAAAGAGAGAAAAAGAGAAAGAAAGTCTGAACAAGGCAGCCAGCAGCACCCCACCATGACCTCTACATCATCTCCTGCCTCCAAGTTCCTGGCCAGTTTGAGTTCCTGTTCTGACTTCCTTTGATGAACTGTGGTGTGGAAGTGTAAGTTGAAAAAACCCTTTCCTCCCCATGCTGCTTTGGTCACGGTGTTTCTTTACAGCAATGGTAACCCAAACAAGACAACACCCTTCAAGGCTGAAGGCATAAACATAGGAGCAGTGGTGACATCTTACTGCTGCCTTTTACAATGGTCTGTTCCAGACCCACATCTGGGTTGTCCCAAGTCTGAAGTCAGCTTGGATTCCAGGAACATCAGAGCCTTACAGACAGATCACCTCATGAGATTATGCCCCCCACCCAAAAGCATGGGTGGTCCTGACTTCTTCAGGCCACCTTGCAGAACCAGAACTGAGCTAACACCAGATCAAACCTTGACCAAGACGGCTTAGTTATGCAGACTTCTTGCCTCTTTTCCAGTTCTTGGTCTACTTAAACCTAAGGCTCATGTCAGTACCTGGAAGATAGGAGGACAGGCTTCCTTTACACCTTCCCCAAATGGCAATTTGGTTAAAGACACATTCCTGCCTCTTCACCACCATCTCTTGCTGCTTTCTTAGGGGTGAGTGACTACACTCCATTGGAAGCTATGGAGTTGAGCCTCTGGCTTAGGACTCCAGTTACATCAATATAAAGCTGTGTATTCTGCTGTGCGTAAGTGTTGTGGGCCTGCAATCCTGGCATGCCAGGGGCTGAAGCAGAGGGATTGAGGTCTTATGGCCTGCTTAGACTACACAGTGAAACCCTGTCTCAAAGCAAAGCATCACAATGCAAAAATTAAAACTGTGCACTGATGTATGCCATGAAACTGGCTGGAAAGGCACAGCCTTGGCATCTTGGTAGTAGCCTCGATAGATGGCTGGCTCTGTTTCGACTCAGTCCTTTAGGCCTTCCTTATATAAGACTCGCATTAGGTATTACCTTTGTGGAAAGAACGCCAGGCATTAGAATACATGAAGGTGGGTCCAGTCATCTTCCCCCACTCCGTACTTCTCTGCGTCTCACCTTCATCAAGTCAACAGCATCCTTTGCATCCCTTTCAAAAAAGTCCAGTGGGAAGTCTCGATCTGGGGGTCTGGACTGTCCGTATCCTCGAGGGTCCCAGGCCACCACTGTGAAGCGCTTCTTGTTTAGGTTCTGAAGTTGTGGTGCAAAATCGGTGCTTCCACTTCCTGAAAACAGCCACCGGGTTACATTCTGAATGTTCTCAGTGTCGCCGACACACCAGAGCGAAATGGAAGCGGTACCAAAACACAGTTCTTGGTTCTTTCTCTTCAAAGTTAGCCAGGAAAAGCTGTCCTGCAAGGGCCGACTCCACCCAGAGGCGGATTTCAACGCCTGCTGGAGTTAGGATCGGCCTCTGAGCTCCCCCTAGTGGTAATTTTGAGGAAGCGAGGCTCAGGACCCGTATTTTTTGTGGCTCATTTGACAGCCTTTCAGTGTAGTTCTCTCCTACCAATCCATTGAAGGAATTAACTAAACTGTATTGAAATGAACTTTCATATTTGATAGCTTCTGGGTCTTCTTTATATCTCTTTTCTCTAAAGAAAAATGACTAAGAAAGGATGAAGACCCCAGTGGCATCCAGGTAGAAGTCCAGATGTTTTCATTTTCATTAAGCTAATATAAATGACTCTTTAGAGTTTATTTTTTAGCTACAACCAAAACAGAGGAAAGTAAATTAAAGCACTGAAACGTGCACACTTAGGAAATCAAATCATAGTTCATAAAACAAATGAGCCTATGCCAAGAGCCTGTGGCAGCCCTGTCTGGCAACCCCCCTGCTCACCAATCAAGGTGTGGTGTGCTCACATGCACTATGTGTGTGGAAGGGCACTTAGTAAGAGCTCCAGCAGCAGGTGTATTTACTGTGCAGGGTTTTGTTTTTCTGGTTTTTTTTATTTCTAAGCACCCACTATCCAGGCCATAGAATAGACAGGAAACCCACCCAGCCGAGCTCAGAAACAGACCAGTGGATTTCCAGCCCTTGTCTACTGGTCTCTCACGGGAGCTTCTTGTCTCTCCCTGACCTAGAAGGAACTATCCTGAAGGAGGAGCAGGAATTAGGGCAGGATTAGAGGGGGGTAGACTAAAATTATAGATTCCCAAATGAGGAAACAATTGCATTTGAAGACCAAGAGTGCTAAAAACCTCCCACAAACATTTTGAGAATATGCATAATTATCAGTGTATGATATCAGAGTGACCCATGGGTACTGGGGGGACAAGGCAGGAGAGAGACTCTCACTGTTCCATTTTAAAGCTTTAGAATCATGCTAATATTTTACAGAAATAAAGAAATTATACTGGGGGTGGGTGCTTTGTGTAGTTAATGGCTGCAATGTTGAAACAACACAATAATAATAATAAATAAGTAACGTGGTACGTTATTTTTTACTGATGATTTAACTGTACATCAGCTATTGGAATAAATATCTCCTTGATTACAGAAGCTTAAGAAAAGGGCACTAAATGTCCCAAGGCTACAGTGAGACTCTATCAGTGAAGGCCTAGCAAGGAGGACCAAAAGTAGCTGAAAATTTTAGCATGCACCTTTAGGAGGAAGGGGCAAGTCACAATAAGTATATACTGGGATTACATAAATACCTAAAAAATAAAGCAGCAACCCTACATGCCTTAGTAGTAGATTCAGAATGCCTCGAGAGATCACTGCAATCTCCCTCTGGAACTTTCTATACCTGAACTGCTGTTCTCTGAAGTTAGACTGAGATTCAGTGGGCGCCAATATGCTCCGTACACTGCAGAAAGTGATGTGTTAATCTGATTGTGACTTTGAAATGGACTCTAAGCTGGCTGGGGATGGTGGCACAAACCTGACCTCTCAGTATATATGAAGCTAAGGCAACCTTAAGCTATAAAGTGAGACCTTGCTAAGAAGCAAGAAGAAAGAAAAGTCTTTTAACAACCCCTTTCTTTTATTATACAAGTCAATCACACTGATTCCCCTTCTCCTGTCCTGGGCTTAGCCCTTCAAGTCTCACATTCCAGAAAACCTTTGGATATGAGGCAAACTAACAGGTATGGCTGGTCACCAACTCACTATCTTCATCTTTGGACCCCTCTTTCTTTGGACTCTGTCTCCTTGACCCCTGCAGTCCTCCCCAATAGTAGGAAACCATTTTTACAGTGTGGTTAAATGTGAGAAGAATGGGTAAAAGAATAAAACACTAATACCGTAAGAAAGTTATTTACTTTTTCAAATCACTCAACTTTGAGTGAGGCCAACATTCATTAAAAGCCTTCAGCAAGCACTAACATAAGTAATCGATGCTTGGCATCTACCGTCATGATGCATCATGGGGAATCCTTAGCCTGCAGAAACAGTCTATTCAAATCCACACATACCCAGCATCCCAGGGAGCAGGAGGACTGCATGCTCCCCTTCTCCCGTTCGCTGGTAGTGCAGGTGAACGCCATTAACAGCCACCTTGGCCGAAGTCACTGCAGTACTGGAAGAGAAAGAAGTCCCCGAAGGAAGACTTATCGGTTGTGTCAAACTGGTGTATTTAATACGACAAAGCATCAGTTCTCGTGCACGAGTGAGCCTTGGTACCCCGCTCAGGCATGCTGCACTGCTTTGATCTGTGCCTTGGCTTTCCAATCAAGGTTGTGTTCCCATTACAGACTGCAAATCTGAACAGTGTCTTCCTGCTTCGACCCACTGCAGCACCCAGGGGCTTGCCTGCTGCCCTGGTTAGATTTCTTTTTGTATGTGTGTATGTATGTATGCATGTATGTATGCATGTATGTATGCTTGCATGTGTGTATTTATTTATGTATTTATTTGCCAACTTGACACACAAGCCACCATCATCTTAGGAACTTCAGTTGAGAAAGTGCCACCATTAGATTGGTCCAGACACAACTCTACGGGGCATTTTTAAATATTCATGACTGATGTGGGAAGGCCCACTGTGGGTAGCGCCACTCTTGAACAGGTGAACCTGGGTTGTCTGTACTAGGGAGCAGGCTGAGAAGCCAGTAAGCAGCATTCATCCATGGCCTCTGCTTCAATTCTTGGCCTATGGTCTTCTTGCCCACTTCCTTGCTAGAGGGCAGTGACACGCAGGATGTGGAGGGCGTGTCAGTACAGCTGCCAAGAAGAATGGCTCTTCTTCTTGTGGACTGGCAGTAAATTTAAGTCAACTACCGACTTCCCTTTTCTTCTACATTTCACATCCCATCTCTGTTTTTGGTCAAAATGATTACCATAATGTGGCTCTTTTTGAAAAAACAAGTGGGTTTTTTTTTTTTTTGTCTGATTTGCTAAGTTCAAGTAATAAAGAGTACAAGCTAGACATGGTGGCACACATGGAATCCCAACACTTGGGAGGTAGAAGGACAGAGATTGCCACAAGTTCAAAGTCAGCCTGGGATATATAGGAAAAACCCTATGGTAAACAATAGCAACAAAGTTGACAAAGAACGTGGGTGGGTGAGTGTTGAACATCGGTACATCTAATATTAGCATAGAATTTCTCAAAAATCACATGACAAAATTGGGATATAGGAAAGCCTAAAATAAGCTCATCTGCACAAACATCAGAGGAGCAATAATAGAGCCATTAAGTAACAGCAAGTGACATCAATTTGTTTTTGTTAGCATTCTATTCCTTCAAAGAGCTGAGTTTTACTGTTAGGGTGACTTTAAGCAACTTAGAATCAAGACAGTTGCAAATCAACACATTCTGCTAACAAAGACTCACTGGAACTTGTCAGCACTTCACACACTCGCAGCCCAGAACGTGCGCCCTAAACAAAGACTGGTTTCATTCAGCAGGCGTTCACAGGCTCCCAGCCCAGCAGGAGAGAAAACAAAGACACAGAGGATTTGCTCAGGGAGGGCAGGGTTATGCTGGAGGCTCCTGAGCTAGATAAAATTTCCTTCCGGTGTTTCTTGTTTTATTAAATGAAGCCACCCCCCTGAGCAGCTGATTAGTATTTACCCGGCTCCTGTTAGCGGTAAAGCTCTCCTCCTTTTTACCGCTCTCTCTGCACTAGAGCTCTGGGGCGGGGGAGGGCTCCCTTCCCTGCAGGACCAAGGACAAGCTCATCGAAGCCATTTTGCACTATGCAGGTATTTTGGGCTATTTTTCCATTTTCCTCAATGCACAGAGCCAGTGGCTTTCGGGAATGGTGCTGCTGCCACAGCCCTGGGCATCAGTCTCTCTCTGGAGCAGTGGTTCACAAAAGCGTCTTTCCTTTAGTCTCTTCAACAACAACAACAACCCTAACTTCTTCCTGCATCTCCCTGGATCTAAGTTTTGGGTTCCCAGTCCAGATGTCTTTCTGAATTCTCACCGCCTAACAGGAGTATGGAGACATCAGGTGGCTAGAGGGCCTCTCACTAGAAACTGCAGCAGGGAAGGATCTGCAACTTGGAAGTGACTTTGATGGGGAGAGCAATACATGTCATGTTAGGTTGGGCAGAGGTATCTGAGAGGAGAGGAAAGGGTCTTTTGTGAAGGAATGCCTAAGAAGGCATTTCACAAAATGCAGATAAGAATACTGCAGGCGAGGAGCTGGAGAGATGGCTCAGTGGTTAAGGGTACTGACTGCTCTTCCAGAGGACCTGGGTTCAATTCCCAGCACCCACATGGCAGCTCACAACAGTCTGAAGATCCAGTTGCAAGGGATCTGACACTTTCACACCAATGCACATAAAATAAAGTTAAATAAACCATAAAAATATTTTAAAAAAAATACTGCAGGGCAGCATTGCTGGGAGACCATGGGGCATGCTCATAAGCCTGTGTCCAGCCAGGCAGAGTGAGAGGACAGAGGGGCTGGATGGACAGAGGGACTGGATGGTATGGGGGTCTTCAGTAAGTGGAGATGGTCCCTGCTGCGTCAACATAGGCATCCAGGGTGCCACCACACCTGGATGGAATAGGCATAGCACCGGCCCATCCTACCAAACACCTGATTCCACTATCCAAGGCTGGAGAGGGGACAGAAAACTATTTACAAATGAAATTATTAATCTTAATAAATTATTAATTTCAAACACAAGGAAAGGTTTATGTTCAATCATACAGTGGCCGAGAGCTGGCTTATTTCCACAGGCATACATGATACGTCAGTTGGGGTCATTTCAAGACGAAAGTCAGTTGGGGTCATTTCAAGACGAAAGCATCAGTTCCAGCTTGTCAGGAGGTCTCTAAGACAGTGGTCAGGACTTGTGCAAACAGCAAAGTCCATGCGGAGAGGACCAGGCCTGCAGCCCAGGCTTTTGACAGCCCTAACACTTGTTTATTCCCAGAACTACATTCAATACTGGATTGTTCAACTCTCAGATAGGAACAAAGACAGAAAATCCTCAGAAAACTTAAAGAACAATCTACCCCTTTCTCTTTGGCATTCAGAGTTTCTTTTCCACCCTTCCCTCCAAAACCTCCAACAACCTGTCTTCTAACCATGATATCTGAAGCAGGTGTGTTTATGAGACTATGTTGAATTTTACAAAGTCCCATGACTAGTACAATCCTGAGAAACACTCTAACTCTGGGGCACTAACTGCTTCCAAAGTCACACCTGGCAGGACACCAAAGGCATGTCCCTCTGAAGCTTAAGGCTAGCAGGAGATGGGCAGATACAGCTCAGTGCTTACTGTGCGCTTGTGTGGAGCCTTTCAACTGAAGGCAGAGGGGGTCAAGTTCAGCCAGTTCAGCCTACCTGCACCGGCATCTCGTTTCTCCTGTTATTTCAGTAGGGCTCAAATGCTGAATTCAAACCACTGGGCACCCTTTCAAATCTGTGAACCCAGGCTCCACAGCTCCACAATCTGAATGGGAAGTAGGCAACTGTACTTAGCCCAACAGGCTAGCAAGACTGAGCCAATTTCTTAGAGAACATAAGCCTTAAGAGTCCCCAAAGTGTACTTTCCTGTCGTGTGTATCCTTAGCTCCCATCTGTGAATTTTCTACATGGTACCCAGAGTGGGGGGGCGGTCTACTTGCCTCAGACAGAGAGAGGTGGTTGTGTGGGGAGGCTGGGAAGAATAGGTAAACCAAAATCTAGTGCTTGCTGCCAGGCGCCTGCACTCTGTGGGCATCGTCCCCCGTCTTTCATTTCTGAGGTGCACGGTGAATTTACCCTAACATTACCACAGAGAGGCTGAAAGTTGGTGAGAAAGCTAATTAGCTAATCCAGCCCAAGATGAGCATCTGAGTGTGCGACCAGGAATCTTGGCTTCAGCACCTTGCTTAGAGAGGAACATGGGGATTGCTTAATAAATAGGTGTTCACTTTGAAAGTCCTTACTGCTTATCCCCTGCTTCCTATCAAAAGACTGTGAGTCACAGCATCAGCTACTTCATTACACGAAGTTTGGTGACTTCTTTTATATACCATTATTTATGTATATATATTATTTATGTGCTCACTATTTATATCATTAGTTGCACTCGCTAATTGTTTATATTTATTCTGTTCCAGGTCTTTCACAGTCCTTGTAGCAAATACAAATGCTGCAAGGCCAGAACCCCAGAGAGGCTGAGAAACTTGTCTGTAGTCACACAGACAGTAGGAGTGGATAATGCAGCTACTTAAACTATTTGAACTCATAACACCATGACCTCTTCAACCTTGGGGCAGAGCTGAATCCCCAACAGGGCAAAGAGCTGGGGTGGCATTCAGTCTAGTTGCCAAGCAGGGGGTGGAGGCAGGCCTGAGAGGAAGGATTGGACCTGATTCTCTGGCGGGGCCTCCTTAGGTTAAATTCAGAAAATATTTATTTTTCAGTCAGACTGTCTGATTCTGCAAATTGTTATTGTCATAACTGGCCTTCAATCCCCCACAGAGAATACTTTTTAACAGTTCACAGAGTCCATGAAGTGAGAAAAGGCTCAGAGTTCCAAGCAGTGGACTGACAAGCGACTCTGCACTACCCAACGCAGCTAGTTGTGGGCCGGACACTGGGTGTGAAGAGGTTTACACAGGACTGCTTCGAGTTGCAGGTATGGGGCTACAGCCTGGTTTCAGGATTAACCAGCAGGGCTGTTTCTCAGATTACAGGTCTAACCAGTATGGGACAGTATTTCTAAAATGGCAGGACAAGACCCCAGAAAACCTTCACGGAGCTCTTTCAGGACGAGTGATCTACAGTGCAGCTAAGTGATTAGGACTCTCGACATTCATGACGTCACCAAAGAGTATGACATGAACACAACCCTGGTAGCCTCATCTCAATCCCTTTCCTTCAATCAGGAAACTGGATAAAATGCCTGCTGTTCACTGGTTATTTACACAACCACAGACACTGACGTGTTTTTCCACCTGTATATAAAAAAATGTGCTAAAGTCACATAACCCTAAAACGAGAGAAGAAACCTGAATTAAATATAAAACCGAAGAGCTACACAATCATGCTAGGAACGTTTAAAAAAAAAAACTGGTTCGATTTTCCCTTCTCTCTGCTTCTGGATTATGTGCTCAATCCATCCATTATGTGATCTGGGCAATGCCAGTCCCTTGTGTCAATGGCCCACTGACAGTAAACCGCACACTCGCAGTGGGCATGCCTGTATGTGTACATGGTGGGAAATGCTCAGTCTGAGGCCGCTCTATCCACAATTTCTGCTCAGATTCTCTTGAGACAGAGCACCCATTTTCAAGACAGCAGGTCTCCACGAATGTTGTTATTTTATCCAAGGGCGGGAGTGGAGTGTGGCGGGAAATGGAAAATGCAGTGTCCTGGTCATCACTACACACCCATAATAGAACTTCTAGCAGGGGGACCTGGGTCTTTGATTTTACACAGGTTCCCAAACAGCTTCTCCAGCACACTGAAGTTCGAGATTAGCAAGCAAAAGGACTCAGGAAACTTGCGCCCTGCGACTGAAGCAGGTTAGGCAGATTTCTGAGGAGGCAAGGAATAGTTACTGTCCCCAGCAACTGGCTAACCGACATCGGGTTTGGAATCCGTAACTACCAGCAAAAGCCCCTCCCGGTCCCTTCTATCTGCAATGAGGGGTTCTAGAATCGAACCCCTGCCACCGAAGTGCTCGCGCACTGTCTCTGCGGGATCTGGACCGGGGTCTGAGGAAGGAAGGGCCGTCGGCACCAGGCAACAGGCCCACCCCCACCAGCGGCCCGCGCCCAAAGCAGCGAGGAGCACGTTATTACCCGAAGGCGGCTGCGGGCTCCGCTTGCGGCACGCGGGTCCTGGATTTCAAGGGCGAGAGGAGCAGCCGCAGTCGCAGAGACGCAGGGTGTACCGCTGCAGCCGCCATAGCTCCAGGTTGCTCCTCCTAGCGGAACCGCGCGTGCGCCCAACTGGGTGCCATCCTTCTAATGCCAAGCCCGAAGCTACGCCCCTGGCCGGCCACACCCCTTGTTAGGCCAGTCAGAAAGGGAGCGTGTTCTCTCTTACAAACCTAGCTCTCAGTGTGGATAGTTCAGTTGGACCACTCCTTGCTTGCAATTGCTATGGTGTCCAAATCTATGGGGAGGCAGGGCCACCTGCTGGACATCTCGGCAGCGAGACTATTGTTTACTGCTTTTATTGAGAAACGGTCTCAGGTTGCTTCAGTGGGCCTAGAACTATGAGCTGATGTTGATCTTGAGCTCCGGATCCTCTGGCCTCATGCTGGGATTCCTGGTCTGCATCACCACACCTGGCTACATTCCACTTTTCACCTATCTATCCCTCTACCCTTGCTGCTAAGCAAAATGGCAGCAGGCTTTTAGGTTACCCTTGTCGGCATTTATTATGTAAGTCTTCAAGAACTCATCGTTTCTGCACTGCATTGTGTTAACTTTCTGCACCACCGTGGCACGCATTTGAGAAGAATTTAAAATGAGGAAAGGTTCAGGGTTTCGGAGCTTTCGGGCCAAGGTCACCTGGACCCCTTGCTTTGGGCCTGAGCGGCACACGATGGTAACAGAGGTGCTTGGCAGAGGCTGGGAAAGAGAAGGTGGGGTGGGAAAGGGGGAAGGTTGTTCAAAAGAAATGGTTCAAAGGCATGTTGCCAGTGACCTGTTTCTTATAGCCAAGCTCCACCTCCTACAGCTTTCCAACAAAGCCATCAAACTATGAACCCACCAATGAATTACTCGGTTGATTATATCAGATCCCTAATGATCCAATCACCCATCGATGACTAATTGCGGGTTAAGCTTTCAACACCATATACAAACCAAAACTATCATTTTTGTGCCAGGCACCTTTAAATGCTTCACCTTATTTTTAATCTATATATAACTCTCCCCCCCCCCCATTCTCACCTCTTTACTCTCAAATTATAGATGACAAAATTATGGCAAGGCAAGTTAGGAAGTCTTTCCCACACGGCTGCGGAGGGGTACTCAAGTCTGCTGTTTCATAATGCTGTTAAGACACCATACCTCTCACTGCTACAATACTTGCTCTGCATTCTTGATACTCAGCTGCTTATAAAATGCCATGGACCTCCCCCTTCTGTTTTTTTTTTTTAGGCCCCCCCCCTTTAAAAGCAAGAAAACCACGAAGCCAATCTTGGTTTCCTCCTCTCTTCTCCTTCCTCAAACTTCCTTGACTCTAAAGCCTGGACACGAAGGAAGAAGCAATTAGTTCATTGGCTCAATTTTTGGTAATATCAGGAACTATGAAACATTATCAGACTAAGTTGCTTGATACTAGCCACAAGCTGGATGTCAACCTTTTAGATAACTTTGTAAATTGCTTACACCACGGAGAGCAGCCCAGGATAAAAGTAGCCTTGCTTGGATGCTCAATCCTCCTGCATCAGCTTTCCAAGTGCTGGGACTACAATAAAGAACAGCCGAGGAAGTGCTAACACAGTCAAAGGAGCATCCAGATGTGTGGACAAGAGTTGATATATTATTGAAACTTGTATTGAATATGACCATGTTTTGGAAAGTGTGGCTAAAAAATGAGGTGGAAGATTCCTCCAAGGAACTGCTGTGAAGGAGTAAAAAGCAAACAAACAAACACACAAAAACCAACAACAAAAACTATGTTGTTGGTTGCACTATCAAGATGCCATTTAGCCCAACTTGAATAGAGAGCTGACTCCCATCAGTTGGCCTGTGACCTCCGTGTGAGTACTGTAGCTCAAGTGCACACAAATACACACACACACACACACACACACACACACAGAGCCACTGAGTAGGTGGGTTACTCATTGTGAACCTTCATTAACTTAAAGTGAAATGATCGAAAATATCTATCCTGTTAGATAGGCTACATCTTTTTGTAAACACTCATTAAAAAGCAAAGAAAAAATTCATCAATATAAATGGTTGTTTCTGAGGTAGAACTCCTTTTCTTATTCCTGCGTGTAACTTCACACAGAAGGCAGGATCACAACCACAGCAAGTGAAAAACCAACGCTTGGGAGTAACTGTGGAGCCTCCTCCCTCATTTCCTGGTTGGGTTACCCTTGCTTATCTGGTTTCTGCCCAAGTATAGAAGTGGAACTTGGCTTGCATGCAACCTTTCAGAGGTAAATGTGGCTTTTCAGGGTGGCACTTAAGAGCTGACTTAAAGGAAAGGCTTCTGAGCCATGTTGATTTCAGTGATGTGGCCTCTTGGGGATAATCTGTGCTGCTTGGGCAGACCCTTTCACTATCAACATAATGCAATGACAAGAAATGCCAACATGAGCAGTATTATCAACACAAACATCATTAAGTCCTCCATATTTAAAGTATAAAATTTTATTTCCATTTTTTTTAAAAGAAAGGTTATTAAAAACAGAACTCTGGGTTCTGGGAACAGGGCTAGTTGCCCTGGGCCCTCAGTGCCCTGGTGGTGGCCATCTTACATTTTTCAATGATGCAGACGACGACAATCAGGCCTGGCTTGCACCCCAGGCCACAGCACTCTGTATAGCTTGGGAGGTGGTTTTAAATAAGTGCTATAAATCCACGTTGGGCTCCCAGAGAGACTCCCACATCCCATGCACTTGTTTGGAACAGGTACCACTGATTACAAAGTCATTAGTCATCATAGGCAGCTGATAAGGTGCAGAGAGCACATGAAGGGCCTAACCTATTAATGCTAGCTCTGTGTAGTTGGTTCACAGCCTTTCCTGTACAAGGGACTAGGCAGCATACCCATGAAGGTATAAGGCTTCATCTGCTCACTGTCCTTCAACTCATACAGGTTCAGCCACAACTCGAGGTGCCAAGCAATTGTTTGGATGCCATTGGTGAGCCTGGCCAGGAAAAGATCTGGAAGTCTGTGGTCACAATCTGGGCCTAGATCTGAAGTACCTATCTTCTGCAATGGACCCACAATTCTTCCCTTACAGAACACTTAATAGAAATGATTTTAACACTGGGACCCTGATTGCTACTACAATTCCAAAACCAGTTCTGGCTTCCCTTGTCATTTCCCCCCACAATTCCATTAAAAATATTTTCTAATCCTGTCTTCTTAAAACAGTATTAGAATACAGGTTAGGAGGAAAGCATTTACAGACTATCCAGGTTCCTCCAGAAAAGCTTGGAACCTTCTCTGCTCCAGTTCCCTTCCAATGTGCATACTCTATGCAGTTAAGGCATGAACAAAGCATGTGTGACAAGAGAACTGAGGCATATAAAGTTACAGCAGGGTCCCTCCAAGGAATATGTAGCCATGTCTAGAGACATTTTTGTCACATTTGGTGGGTGAAGTTGACTTGCACTATTGGCATCCTGTACATGGAGGCCAGGAATGTTTCTAAATATTCTACATAGTACAGGATAGGTCAACAGTGGAGGATGAAGTGCCAGCTAGTGCCAAAATGCCAACAAGGACAAAGCTGCTTTGCAGCCCACTCCAGGAGTGCCATGTATCTTCTGAGGCTGCAGGAGATTCAGAACCACAGCCCACTGTTGTCAACCAGACACCGAATCTTTTCTAACGGTCAGAGGCCTGTCGCTGCATAGCCTTTGCACAGAAGGTGCCAGCAGTGGCTGTAGTTGGCCCAGGCAGCTTTAGTCTTCTAGTTCTCCCACTCACTCTGGGTTGCACGTGGGCTTGCTAAAGGCACAAAGACTGAACTCTGAAGCTGTCCCTTTTTAATTCCCGGCACACAGAAGAAATATTTCAGTACATTTTTTCTGGGTAAACTGAGGAAACAGTTCTACAGTGAGCAGTGCTGAGGCGCCGGCCGTATCCAGGAAGAGACGACATTTCCCGATGAGCATTTCCTGCACACCACTTCCCTCTGAGGGGTGCACAGGCTGGAGAATGGCACGGAGCACCAGAATGGTAGGAGAAAATGGGAAATCTCACACTAGTTTTTACAGTAGTTGCAATCAGCAGACGTTCTCAGTGGTGAGTGCTGGAAAGTGGTGATCCCCCTCTGCCCTGCAGTCTTTCCTCCTTAGCACTCCTTAACATTTCCTCTTTAACTTAGACACACTAGAATTGCACGTGACTCTTAAAGCTTAGGTGACAGCACAGCACTGGATGCTAAAGTTAACAGATCCTATAGTTTTAGGGAAGACCGTGACTGTCATCTAAGGTACCTATCTGGGCAGAATTTTACTGCACTCAGTGCATGAAGGAGAAGCTAGTGGATTTTACATTCTTTCAATGTTTTTTCCTCCCTCACCCAAACGTAACCATAGCAAACTGAGTACATAGCACAGTTGAAGACTATGGCACAAGCTGAAAGGAGACCAGCTCTCTCCTCCAACCGCTCTTCTCTCCTTTTTAAAACCCAACAGGTCAATAGGTTATTCTTTTTAACAACCCCCCCCCCAACCCCGCCCTGTCCTGGGCCATTCATGCTTCATGCTTGTACTTCCTGAAGAACCACCGTGGGCTTTAGACTTCTCTTTCCCTACTCCAGTTCCAAAATGTACGACATGTGCATGGGTCCAGGGCTTGTACCAAGAAAGAGTTCTGAAGGCCATGGGGCAAAGGGACTTGTGCACCAGGCCAACAGTCTAGTTCCCACTGTCACAGCCCGTCCAGGCTTAGCTCTGGCTGGCCTGTATCAAGTGGTTCAGCAGGTCTATCCTGTGACACTGGTAAAGTGCCCGGGCCATCTTTCCCACTGTGGCCCCCCTGGTGCCTTCCCGCATCAGCCACTTCTGGAGCATCTGGTAAACCTTTTCTTTCAGCCCGTCTCGTTCATAGTCGTGATCAATTTCATCGATCTGAGAGTCCGTGAAGCCTAGCTTGCGGGCACAGTTTTTCCACTGCCGCCCCAGGTTTTCCCTGACAGGGTTCAGGTGTTTCTCAGTCAGACTACTGTTGTTATCTGTCAAACAGAAAAGAGAAGATGCCTCAGGCTACAGTCCGTTTGAACATTATAGTGTCTGCAATGCTGAAATGCTA